TACTCACTGGCTTTAATGTTAAAGGTGTTACTACCTGGCAACTTCCATCTAGTATTTGGATGGGAGACCCCCAATGAATACCAGGCATTGTATGCTATATTTAAAGGGAAGTAACTGGCAAGAATACTTTATGAATATTTCTTATCCAAGAAAACTCTGTGAAATTCTTGGAGGCCATTGTTGACTGGTCACTTGAAGGCATGCACACACAAATCACCTGAACCTCCAGCTTGTACCTGAAGACAGAGGAGGCAACGAAAGAATTGGCTTATTTTGATTTGATCCTAACTAGAGAGACAAACGGTCAATGGGTGGAAATAGTACAGTTCTTGACTGTGAGTGACAAGTGAGAGAGGAAAGGGGGAGCCAAATACAGTCAGAATTGTATTCTGTGATTTAAAAGTCTAATTTCAATAAAGTTAGTGGAATACTGACTGGTAGCACAACTGGTTAATTAGTTTCAATAAATCACTGCTGACCGAAAGGTGGTAAATTCAAAGTCCGAGTCGGGGTTGAGTATCCGACTGTTAATAACTGTTTAAGAAAATGGCTGTTAAAAAAAATGCCCAGCTCATTGTCGAAAACAGCTGTGAGCTGTGAGTAGAAAAATTAGGGACCGCTTAAATCAAGGAGGCTAATTTATGGCACCATAAAAATGCCAAAGAGCAAGGAGGAAATACTATGATCAAAAAGGCTCGGCATCATAGTGGACGAAGCAACAGCTCCCCTGTGGCCGAATTGAGCAACCTCCAGGATCCGGTGGAAGAACTGCTGAATGGCCTCTATCTGTCTGTATGTCAAAAATGGCATTGAATGTTTTCCGTGTATATGTGTATTGTGATCCACCCTGAGTCCCTTTCAGGGTGAGAAGGGCGGAATATAAATATTGTAAATAAAATAAAATAAAATAAAATAAATACTAGGTGAGATCACATGATCTGAAATGCTCAAAGATTAGGGAGTTTGTAGTGCATAGGGGTTCCTTCAAAGTGAGATACTGAAGACAGTTGCAGATCTTAAAGAAAGGAAAATAAGTGCTCAGTGTCTAATAAAACCCAGACAGATATACCAAGACCTTTTAAATGCAATTAGATTTAAAAGTGAGCAAGAAACAGCAGGGGGAAAACTTCAAAGAGGAATACATACATACAGCAGGTACATGTAGGGGTCAGTCAGGACATACTTGCTAGAAAGTTTTATAAGAGGAGGAACAAGGAAACGGAAGGCCACAGCATAAAGACGGAGTAATGTTAACCAGAGACAGAAGACCTCTTCTCACTAGGGCTTAACCGTTGTATGCCGCCAATGATGAGGTCTGAGAGACAGCTAAATTGTTCAATACATTCTTTGCCTCAGTCTTTTCCCAATAAGGAAAACTTTGTTCTGGCTGGTGAAAACAGGGCAAATGACACAACGAGGGGACTTCAGTTCCAGAGCAAGAGATAGCTGTTATGTTCATGTGATACTGGCAGGAGAGCTACCTCACTTTGGACACTTCCAACTCTGGGTTTTGTTTTGTTTTTTTTAGCATCAGGGCCAAGAATGTGCACATTTCCATTTTAATGAACTAATATAAACAACTATGGCAAAGGAAAAATCACGTACCCTGGCAAGCATGTGTTTATTTCCAAGTAAAATATGTTCAAACATTAAGATTTCTTTCTGGCACATATTCCACCTCAGTGTTGACAGTCCTTTCTTTTTCGGTTGGAAATATTCAAATGATATATAATGATAAAGACACAAGAGGATTGGCAGATTATTTATTTCCATAGATTTTTATAAAAAATAATTATCAAATACAAAAACAAAAATAGCAGCAGCCTCAATTGTGAAGAAAATACTTCCTCAGAAAGTGGGGCAAGATGTTCCCGTAGTCCCCTACCAAAGAAATAATTCACTAAAATGGCTTTCATCCAAACTGGTATACTCTGCGCCATCATCCTTATTCCTGTACTCAAACAAATTAACTGTTCCTAATCTTTCAACCCTCTTATTTGAATGCTAGAATGTGTGTTTTAAGCAAATGTGGAGATCTTCCAGAAATAGTTGACTAAAGAAAGCTACTAGTCAGTGATCAATATGCTTCTGAAGCCTGGAAAACTCATATCAATACTCCCATGTTAGAATCTCTATTAAGGTATCAAATTAAGCAACTTGATTGAGGTATAAAAGGCATAGCAGAAGTTAACATAGGCCACATTTTCCCAAATATAAGAAAATAAAAATGTAGCTCTTCGTAAAAAGTCCTTACTATGATAAACTTGAGGAATGTGAGATTCTAATTAAGATCTGCTTGAGTGCTATGAGACAACTCTTTGGGACCCTGGACCTCCTTTGTGGGATAATATGACTGCTCAAATCTTTACAACCAGCCTGCTATCCAGGCATGTTCTTTATCAAGCACAGTAGTTCTGAGTTAAAATCAAAATTAGGTTAATTCTTGCCTAAGTAACTGGTAAGGGGGGGGGGGCCCTTATGTGCCTTGAAAATTGAGAGTATGTGTGCAAAGTATTGTCGAAGGCTTTCATGGCCGGAATCACTAGGTTGTTGTAGGTTTTTTTGGGCTATATGGCCATGGTCTAGAGGCATTCTCTCCTGACGTTTCGCCTGCATCTAGACTTCTGCAGGAGTCTACCGTGTACCATGCAGCTGTGGACAAGTCTACATAGGGACCACCAAATGCAGCATTGCCCAAACACAAATCAAGGAACATGAAAGGCACTGCAGACTACTTCAACCAGAGAAGTCAGCCATAGCAGAGCACCTGATGAACCAACCTGGACACAGCATATTATTTGAGAACACAGAAATGCTGGACCACTCTCACAACCACCATGTCAGACTACACAGAGAAGCCATGAAATCACAAGCATGTGGACAATTTCAACAGAAAGGAGGAAACCATGAAAATGAACAAAATCTGGCTACAGTATTAAAAAAACTCTAAAATTACAACAGCAAAACAACAGAGAAGAAACAAACAAGGACATCTAATCACCTCTCAACAAAAGTTTGCTCCAGGCACTGTCAGGCCATTATATGCTAATCAAGGTGGTCAGTTGAAACATTCACACCTAGCTCCAGCAGACAAGAGTCCTTTGTCCCACCCTGGTCATTCCACAGATATATAAACCCTTTTTCCTAGTTCCAACAGACCCCACTACCTCTGAGGATGCTTGCCATAGATGCAGGCGAAACGTCAGGAGAGAATGCTTCTAGACCATGGCCATATAGCCTGAAAAAACCTACAACAACCCTATGTGTGCAAAGTTGGTCTATGAAACTTTTTCGCAAATTTGTAATTTCAACTACAGTAAAGTCACTAGGGTTGACAAAAAGGTTGACTCAACATTCAACGGCTGATTCAATAGATCTACTTGAGATTACCAATAGGATTCAAACATAAATTTCTTCTTAAGTAATCCAGTGTGGTTGTGTTCTTCTATCTGAATTTAAAGGCATTCAAACTTTCACAGCATCTCCTCAATTGGAATAAACAAAATCAATTACATGATTATATGTCCTGTCATATGTAGCTGAGGTCTTCTAACTCCCAATCTAGGAGAATGGGTAATACTGGAACATTTGAGTCTTGCATGACAGCAGAGATCAGAGCAAGGACATTAGAGAACAAACAGAGTGCTCCACAGTCTGGATGTGGGATAGTGAATGCAGTGAAGATTTGCAGACATGAGAAAGATACATGTATCCCTTCAAACTCCTCTCTCACCACTTCCACTTCAATTTATCTCCAGAAAAAACCAGGGTGAGGCTTTGACAGAAAACGTACATAGGCAGAAAACATATTAACCCAAATTTCCCATTGTAAGTTGTAGTTCTGCTCTCAATATATACTGTATTTCTTATGTTCTAAGACACACTTTTTCCTATACATATCTCTCTTAAAATGGGATTCATCTTAGAGTCGCAGGTGTATGTTATGTATTTGTGTTGTTGGTGGTGGTACTGAAATTAGGGTGGGTCTTACACTCAATGATGTCTTACATTTGATGAAACATGGTAGTTCCGCTCTTAGAGTCCTAGAGACATGGCTGTAATTTACATTTCTATAATAATGGCCCCTCCAGACAAAGCTATTCCAGAACTCCACTGGGTAATTTTAAGCCGTGTCCTATTCCAAACTGTTATGGCAAAATTGGTCAGAAATCCTGTGTGTCTAGAGGCAACAAGTTTCCACCTTAGGGCACTTTGCTCACTTTTAGTGTGCAATTTTACATCAAGGATGTGACAACTACTTTGCTCAGTGAGAACTGTGAATCTAACAACCCAGGGGATGATTCAGAGTTGTGTTTCATCCTTTCAGAAACCTTAAAAACAAGGCTGCTACATTGATAACTACATACAGGAAACAAATGCTCTTCTATTGTCTTCCAATTACGGTAAGATACTCCCCTGTGTATCTTCCAACTACGGTAAGTTACTCCCCTGTGAAAGGACTTTAGAACTTCAGACCATCAATAAACATTTTTTAAGAAATCCCCTTCCCCACTTCTGCTGGAGGACACAGGAGGGGAAGGTAATTCCAACATGACATTGACTCTAATCATGCTGCCTTCAGCCTGGATGGGGCAAGTCAACTGAGATGTTGGCAAGTGACCCCCAGGCTCATCAGACATGACAACCAATGGGATAAAAGTTCTAGAAGCCATGTGCTATGAGAAACTACTTAGGGAGCAAAATGTATTGAGGTAAGAAGAAATTGAGAGTTGATACGACAGCCATATTTAAATACCTGTAGGGAATTCATATAGAAGATGAACTGAACTTGTTTTCTGCTGCTCCGGAACTAAAACATGAACAAATGGATTCGAATTAGAAAAAAAAGTGAGTCTACCTAGGCATTCAGAAGAACTGCTTTATCATAATAATTCCTTGACACTGGAAGAGACTGCCTTGGGATGTTGGTGGACCCCCTTTCTTTGGAAGTCTTTAAACAGAGGTTGGATGACCAGCAGTGCTTTCAGTTGTGCAATTTCTGCGTGGCAGGGATTGCACTAGAAGACCCTTTCAGTCTCCTCCAACTCTACAGATCTATATTTCTAAGCATATCCTGAAATATGCCACCCCTTAATGTATAATAAACCTGCTGTATGGGCCATCTCACTGTTTCTAATTTTCAGATGCACAGAATTCTGTTGTAGCATCTAATCTTTGTTAATTATCGTATTGAGATAGGCGGAGGGCACGTGGACATTGGTACTCAGAAGTGCCTAACTTGTACACTGAGCAGAATCAGATAGTAAAGCTTTTCCTGGACCGTACTAATCCAGGATGGTATTCTCTGCAGAATTAAGGAAACTATAATGCTAGACAGAATGGTAGGTTAAGACTTAGGGGTTGCTCTCCACACGAAGGAAGGTCTGGGGCAGGGGGAAAGGAAAGCTGAAGGAACAGTCAACATTCAATTGGCAACCTGAAATAGTACTATCTGGGGTGGGTGGTGGGTGGAATGGAGAGTCTTAATTCTGTTCATAAAAACAGCCCTTGGATTCTCTGGGAATTTCTTTCATTACAGCCCCCAACATTTTCTAATACAACTTTCCTTCACAGCAGCGTGGGTCAGCTTAATGAACAGCAAATAAAAATATAATGTAGATTTGTAATAAAATTATGCTTAAATATTTGCAGACAGATTACGTTTATCTCCCCTTCCCCCCTTACTAAATCAAACCCAAATGTCAAAAGGGGAGAGTACTGACAATATTCAGAGCAAAGATAAGACGGTTGTAGGTAGCAAACCATTGATACAGTAAATGCAGTGAAGGTGGTCCAGTGGCCTGAATTTGAGCCAGTTTGTCAATATTGCTGACAAGGCTGTGGAGTAGGCCATTGTGGCTTGTATTTCCATTCTGATGGTCAAGCGGTTGAACTGAGAGTGTAAAGGTGATGATTTATTTTCTTGCATGCCTCTCCCTCCTTTCTGTCCCTTCTCATGCAGCTTTTCTTCTTCATTGTATAATGATGCCTCACGACGCTTAACAAATGTGCATTTTGTGAAGTCCTTTCTTTTAGCCCTTGAAGTTACTGCTCCTCCTACACAAGCCCTTTAAGTTCCAATTGTGGCCCTGTCAACAAAAGCCCTCGTGGGTGTTGTTACTGGTTCTCTTCCGCTGCTGGGTCCCGGCAGGTGCACTCGTCTTGGTCACATCCATTAGAAAAAAGGACCACCTGAAAGCATTAGAAAAGAGGAGCTTAGAGTACAGGAGCCAAGTTGTCAGAAAATCCCCACTACCCTCCATTATGCACCCATGCCATTCAGTTGTATCATGACATCATCACATGGGATATGTAAAGCATTTAGGATAGTTGGTTTTCCCTTAAGCTTCGCAATGCCTCATTTGGAAATTAAATTGATGATTTCCTTACTCCATCACACCCTTTTCCATCTCCAATCTCTTTAGGATTTATCTGTTTGATTTTCCATCACACGGTTTTCTCCCACTGTTCCTTCCTGCTTTCTCTTTTAAAAAAGAGTTCTGTCTTTAAGTAATTTCGTTGTCCGAAAAACTTACAACAACATATATAGAGGGGTTATTTTACGGTGCAGAATTAAGAACAGGTGGGTAGGGGAAATGAAGCTTTAGCTCTCTTATGTCTCTCTCTGCTAGCTTTTTGATATGCAAAACAAAAGCCTGACAGCACAGTAGGAGTTTCAGAGAGGCAATTGAGAAACTGATAGGTAAGAATTTTAAAAGACTTTTGCGAGAACTTGCATGTTTTGCTATGTATTTCTCTGGAATGTTTTAATATCTTTGAATGTTTGCTATACTTCCTCAGTCCCAAAATGGTAATGGCAGAAGAAAAGAATCCATTCTGCTCATCTCAGCTCCTCCTTCCATAGTGACATCATACAAATAGGCGAGGGGGAATTCCCATTACATGTTAAATTAGGTATTTTTACACATATCTACATTGGAAATTGAAGAATAAGTTGCTTGCCAACCAGCTTAGGATTTGTCAGGAAAACCCACACTTTAGAAACTGCCAGATACTACTGTGCACATTTGAAGCTTGTGTTGTGTGAAGGGCATCATCGATTGCAGTTTCTTAAGTGTGTGGAAATGCTGACTTTATTGCATGTGATGAAGTCCTCAGTCACACAGCCCAACAAATAAATATTGATGTCTTGGTTCTTAGGCAAGTTCCTGGGGTTTTGTAGGGGAGGGTTATTCAGAGAATTGCATTGGATATTTATTTATTTACTCTATTTCTATCCTGCTCTTCTCACCCTTGCAGAGAACTCAAAGTGGCGTACATAGTGGCAATATTCAATGCCACAAATTCACAATATAAAATACCATACATTAATGCAGTGGTTCTCAACCTGGGGTCCCCAGATGTTTCTGGCCTACAACTCCCAGAAATCCTAACAGTTGATAAACTGGCTGAGATTTCTGGGAGTTGTAGGCCAAAAACATCTGGGGCCCCCAGGTTGAGAACCACTGCATTAATGCAATAAACATAGATAGGGTTTTCCTGATTTGGGTGAGCAGATGAAGATACAGAACACATGCCATCTACCAATCTTAAATACTAGAGATTATAGGGGGAAACTGGTGCCATGTTTAGAATCTGCAAGTAAAATATACAGAGAAACAGGTCTAACACTTGAGACACTTAAATGTGTGTTGGCCAGTGTTATCAAAACACTTTGTCAATTTCACCCCATAAATTCATACATTCTCCAGTTGTCCAGGAACAAAACATATCACACCATCATCACCAATTAACAATTATCTAAGTTTGTTCTTTAAGAAGGCAGAGCACAATGCTCTGCCCACACAGCTATGCCCTCCTCCACTTCTGCTCAATGGTGTGGAGGAGACAGAGAAAGAATTTAGATGTGAAAGAACCAGCTGACCTTGGCCAAGAGTGAAGGAGAAATAGGATGTACTTACAGCAGGAACCAACTTTCCTTTTCCTTTCTCTCAGGGCTTAGACCAACCACATCTTTATTATATTAATTACCGCCCCCCAACCCCAGACTTATCAATTTAGTCAGCAGCAGCCCTTCCTGCTGCTTACTACTTGTTGAAAGAAGGTTTTAGCCTGCAGAAGTGATAGCTGAGAGGAGGGATGATAGACGTATTTAAATATTTGAATTAATGCCCTAAGGAAGAATGGGCAGGCTTGTTTTCTGCTGCCCGGAAGATCCCCTTCCTGGTTTTTATTTTTTCCTATCTCCCAGATTTTGGCCCTGCCCAGAGTGATCATTTGTGTTTTAATGTTTGATTTTATGCTGCTGTGTCGCTTATTGATATTGGTTTTGCATTTAATTTAATTTATTTTTTGATTTTCTGTTGTGTTTTTTGTGTTTATTTACTGTGTTGATGGGCGTGGCCTTATGTAAGCCTCCCCGAGTCCCCTTGGGGAGATGGAGGCGGGGTATAAATAATAATAATAATAATAATAATAATAATAATTATTATTATTATTATTATTATTATTATTATTATGAAGAGCTAGAAGATAAACCCCTACACTCTGTCCAAAACAGGCATATGTATACATAAGTCAGACTTATGTGCTCATATGTTACTAATAATAGGCTTATAGCCTACTTCTCTAAGCATAAGTCTTTAAATAGTGATAGTTTATTACTCTCAATAACAGGTTTTCACACTCGTATACACTGTAAACAGAAACTAACCTGGGTTGTGGTGTCATTCTACATCATGAGAAAAAAAATCTACAGGCTCTAGTCAAATGCTGCAGAAGCTTCTGCATTTCTTCCTCTGTGTCCATTTATCACTCTCTTGAGAGCAGATGTGTTTGAAAAGGCCACTTGTGGCTCATCAAAGCTCCCTTTCTGGCCCTAAGCCAAATTGCATTCTGTAGGGAGTAATCAATCATTTTGCTGAATTATCAGTTTCCTATGAACATTTCAAAGCCATGAAAATACAGAATGAATTATGGAGAAAGCAAGGTGCTGGGTCAGTCAGAGGAAGGAAGGAATATGGTCAAGTTGCAAAAACTTGCTCATTGCTGCTTTACATGCTGTTTTTCTTCCTGTACCTTTCCCTCTTGACTCTTAGATGATATTAGCCTCCAATCCAGGAGTGGAAATTGTATGGCCTTCCACATCTTATTGATCTATAACTCCCAGCAACTCTAGCTAGCACGATGAAGAATATTCGGAATTGCAGATCAACAAGTTCTAGAAGGTCACACAACAGGGATTATGACGAGTGGAGTGCCACAGGGTTCTGTCCTGGTCCTGTTCAACATCTTTATTAATGACTTAGAGGAAGGGTTACAAGGCATGATCATCAAGTTTGCAGACGGCACGATATTGAGAGGGATAGTCAAATATTCCAGATGACAGGAGCAGAATTCAAAATAATCTTAACAGATTAGAGAGATTAGCCGAAACTAACAAAATGAAGTTCAACAGTGACAAATGCATGATACTCCACTTAGGCAGAAAAAATGAAATGCAAAGATACAGAATGGGGGAAGCTCAACAGCGGTACGTGTGAAAAAGATCTTGGTGTCATCGTGGACAACAAGTTAAACATGAGCCAACAATGTGATGTGGCAGCAAAAAAGCCAATGGGATTTTGGCCTGCAGCAATAGGAGTATAGTGTCTACATCCAAGGAAGTCATGCTACCCCTCTATTTCGCCTTGGTTAGACCACATCTGGAATACTGTGTCCAATTCTGGGCACCACAATTGAAGGGAGATGTTGACAAGCTGGAATGTATCCAGAGGACGGCAACTAAAATTTTCAAGGGTCTGGAGAACAAGCCCTATGAGGAGTGACTTAAAGAGCTGGGCATGTTTAGCCTGAAGAAGAGAAGGCTGAGAGGAGATATGATAGCCATGTATAAATATATGAGAGGAAGCCACAGAGAGGAGGGAGCAAGCTTGTTTTCTGCTGCCCTGGAGACTAGGATGCGGAACAATGGCTTCAAACTACAAGAAATGAGATTCCATCTGAACATTAGGAAAAACTTCCTGTGAGAGCTGTTCAGCAGTGGAACTCTCTGCCCTGGTGTATGGTGGAGGTTCCTTCTTTGAAGGCTTTTAAACAGAGGCTGGATGGCCATCTGTCAGGGGTTCTTTGAATGCAATTTTCCTGCTTCTTGGCAGGGGGTTGGACTGGATAGCCCATGAGGTCTCTTCCAACTCTATGATTCTATGTATGTGATAAACAAAGGGCTAGAAATTATATTGGTGAAAGTGTTGCTAAATAAGGAGCTACATTTGGCTAACATGTCCCAAAGTACAAAGATCCTGGGTGTGATGGCGAGCCAGCCAAAATACTAATTGAATAAAGAAAACGGATTGGAGTGGAGATAGGACAAGACATCTATATAATTATGGTATCATTTTACAGATATGTTGGTATCAAACACAGTTAAAATATAAATCAGAGTGTAATTTTAAAAGACCCTCCAAGAACATCTTGTCAAACCAAATAGACTAAATTCTACATTATGTGTATCTTGGAAGGTCTATACTGTGTTCTTGAGGCTAGTGCCATATTGAAAAGAGACAAGGTATAGTGAAAGCTGTGAAGAAATCTTGCTAAATTACTCCTTTTCAGTGGCATGTCAAGGTAACCTGCTGAGAGTTCATTAAGTGTGATAAGATGCTCAGCACTGGTGTTGGAGTGAGAATAAAATGAGCCATTGATTTTTCTGTAAACATGCCCAATATGTCTCTGAAAAAAGGTACCCTTTCCTTTACAAAGCAAACAGTAAGGACAGAAGGGCAAGCTAAATGATCAAAAACATCAAACAATCCAGGCAAAACATTAATTTTAACAGTCTGAGCAGCAAGGTAGTTACAACACAGTTTACTACAGAAACTGCACAAACAGTCCTCCTGCATGTAGAACTTCCCAGGAAAGTGGTAGAAAATATCTCATTATCTTACATACAGAAAGAAAAATTCGGTGTCCATTCTTCTCAGACAAATGTGAAGCTTTACATCAGGGATCCTCAAACTAAGGTCCGAGGGCCGGATACGGCCCTCCAAGGTCATTTACCCGGCCCTCACTCAGGGTCAACCTAAGTCTGAAATGACTTGAAACCACACAACAACAACAACAACAACAACAACAATCCTATCTCATCAGCCAAAAGCAGGCCCACACTTCCTATTGAAATACTAATAAGTTTATATTTGTTAAAATTGTCCTTCATTTTAATTATTGTATTGTTTCAAGTGTTTTTGCACTACAAATAATATACGTACAGTGTGCATAAAAATTCATTCACGTTTTTTTTCAAATTATAATCCGGCCCTCCAACAGTTTGAGGGACTGTGACCTGGTCCTCTGTTTAAAATGTTTGAAGACCCCTGCTTTACATCCTTAAAGGTTATGGAATTATTCCTGCTCTGCCTTCATTGATGACCACCAGGTTTAGTACATGAAGAGAAGCCAGGTTCATAATAATAACCTGGTATCTTTATTGGACCAGCCCCAAAGGGGACACAATATTTATCGTCTTGTCCTGTTAGCCAAACTCCAAATCTACTACTCAGTGAAAAACATGGCCTGGAATTTAAGTTGAGATCAGAGCACATCCTTGGCTAGAAATGTAAAGCTATTATGAAAAAGGTGGTGGATCAGAATCTCACTTACCTTCCTGGAGGAGACTGTGGAAGAGCAGCAATCCCCACCATCATACTGACAATAGGCTCGGTTATTGTCGGTGTCACACCAGCCATCAGCTTGAAAAGGCTATGAAGAGAATGAAACAGGCATTCGGTAAGAAGAAAGGTGGCAGAAAGGGGGCAAAAACAATGAAGATTTAATGACGTATTGAAAGTTAAAAAAATATATTGTGGCACTCGTTTTCCCCAAACAGAAAAACAGTAAATTCTCCAGTGTCATGTTTATCAAGTCTGATCAACAAAATAGGAATCAATAAAGACACAGATACTATTATGTTAATTAGTATACCACACCAGAAAATACAGAAATATGTGAATTGTAAAACCTAATTAAAGGGAAGTAATAGTCCTTCTCTATTCTGCTTTGGTCAGACCTCACATGGAGTACTGTGTCCAGTTCTGGGCACAACAATTCAAGAAGGATATTTACAATTTGAAACATGTTCAGAGAAGGGCAATCAAAATGATCAATATATTGTTGAAGGTTTTCATGGCCGGAATCACTGGATTGTTGTAGGTTTTTTGGGCTATATGGCCATGCTCTAGAAGCATTCTCTCCTGATGTTTCACCTGCATCTATGGCAGGCATCCTGACAACCTCTGAGGATGCCTGCCATAGATGCAGGTGAACATCAGAAGAGAATGCTTCTAGAACATGGCCATATAGGCCAAAAAACCTACAACAACTCAAAATGATCAATTTAGAAACCAAACCCTATGAGGAACGGCTGAGGGAACTTGGTATGTCTAACTTGGGGAAAGGCTGAGAAGGGATATGAAAAATCACATTTAAATATTTGAAAGAATGTTACGTTGAGGAGGGGAAATGCTTTTCTGCTGCTCTGGAGACTAGGGCCCCTTCTTCTTCTGTCTTTATATCCTTCTGTCTTTATATCCTAGAATCTGATCCCAATTATCTGTCTGCCGAGACTCATATAATCTAGTTCAAAGCAGATAATCTGGGATCAGATCTGGGATATAGGGCCATGTAGATCCAGCCTAGTACACAGAGCAATCAAATTGCAGCAAAAGAGATTCTACATAAACGTTAGGAAGAATTTCCTGGTGGTAAGAGTTGTTTTGCAGTGGAATATTCTGCCTCGGAGAGTGCTGGGGTCTCCTTCCTTCTCTGGAGGTTTTTAAGCAGAAGCTACTTAAAAATGATGTATTCCTGCATAGCAAGGGGCTGGAGTGGACTCTTCCAACTGTATAATTCTGTTCTATAAAAAGAGATGAACAACTAATATGTCTGCTAACACAAAGTAGCATGCCTTTTAAAAAATCTGAAAAAGCCAGTCTATAGGGCATTTGGTCAAATTCATTTATTGCTTAGATTTCAAATCCAACCGGATGTTGCTAATTCACTGCCTCACACACAGGTTCAGTGTGTTGGGACATGTCTAGTATTTGTGCAGAAGTCCATAAACATGTCCCAACATACTGAACCTTAACTTCGAACCACAAATGAACATGATTTCTGCAAAACCTTTCAACACAGTTAACATCATAGGAAGAAATGGGGTGGAATGTCTCTCTGTTCCCCAGCACAAATAAGTTAGCATGTGATCTCCCATATCACAGTTTAGCTAGCAGGTGGTGGAGGAGATCGTCCATAAGAGCAAAAGCTTCTTATAATTTAAATAACCAAGATGAACATAAATATTCTAGTATAGAAATAAATACACATGCAATAGAAAGGCTGACCTGGTGAAAATTCTTCCTACTATAATGACCTAATTCCATGGCATGTGTTAAAGGGATTGTGGCCTCACACAGCCCTAGCTCTCTAACTAGGTTAAAACATATTATCACTATTATTATTACTATTCCTATTACTATATTATTAATATTAAGTCTATTAACCACACACACACAAAGGAGAGTTAGAAGCATATGTATTCAGCCACTTCAGGATTCAAACTTTCAATTCAAGTGTTTAGTCCTCATATTTGCAAATTTATGTTTCTGAATGAAGACAAGCAGAAGTGTGCAAAAATTCTAACATGCCAAATAGCCACACTTATACACAACAGCAGAATTCAGCCTTTTCTTTGACACTTCACTTTGATGCTTACTTTCCATTGAAAATTTAGTTATCATGGCACTGCTACTTACTGCTACTATTCAGTTATCATGGCACTGCTACTTATCATGCTGCAACAAGCCCTGATATTTTTTGCAATTTTTAAAAAATGAGACAAATTGAGGTTTTGATATGGTACGCCTACATACATGAGCTCAAGGCAATAAGCCATAACATTACCTATCTGCTCACTCCCTGAAGAACTGCAGATAAGGAATAGCACCATAGACAGCTCCCTCCCCCATAATATATGTATTGTCACTTCAATGGCAATGAAGTAACAACACATATTCTGTGGGAGCTCCCAGTAGTGTAGTGGATTAAACTGAAGACCAACAGGTCAGAGGTTCGAATCTGGGGAGAGTGTGGATGAGCTCCCTCTATCCGCTCCAGCTCTCCATGCGGGGACATGAGAGAAGCCTCCCACAAAGGTGGTAAAACATCCGGGAGTCCCCTGGGCAATGTCCTTGCAGATGACCAATTCTCTCACACCAGAAGCAACTTGCAGTTTCTCAAGTCGCTCCTGACACGACCAAAAAAATTGGCAAAATTATGATTTTATTTCAAAAACTAATTTCCCTGCCATTATTACAAACAATTGCCTATTGTCTCAAATGCTAGTGCAAAATGACTTCCAAACCCACATCTGTATAGAGAAGATACTTGGGAAGGGGGAAAGAGTTTGATCTCATGCTAGATATACACAACCACTAATTGCTTACCTCCTACCCACTTCAAGCTGCCAAAGAAGGAGGTCAAAACAATGATAACCCTTCAAGAAACATGACAGCTTATGTCAAAAGTTATCTTGAGAATTTAAAAAAGGAAAAACAAGATGAATAAAAATGAAAGCTGGCTAACCAGACTAATTGTTTGGAAGAGCAAGCTGGAGATAACATGCTTCAGACAGTTCAGAGCCACAATTTATCAGTCAGCTATCATCAGTATAACATGAATTCTATCCTGAAAAGACATTTTGAGTGGCAGCTAATCAGAAACTGTTCTCTTCAGCTTTATGCTGAAGTGTTAAAACTTTTCCTAGATGTTCCAACAGTAAAATATACCCAAATTAAAATAAAATCACATTTAACCTCTTGGTACAACTGGTGTAATGTAAACTCTATTTCAAGAAGGCCGCTTCAATAGGTAAAATGCATATAGGCAAGTTATTTTGTTCCTAACAGATCTAGCAACGCAAAAGAACAGTATTAAAAGGATAAAGTATTAGGCATGGTTAGGGTCAGTCGGAATCTTCATAATTTGGAATAAATTTGGAAAGATTTGCTTTTTTGAAGCGATTTCAAAGTTTTTAAGGAAACCCTTTTTTTCCTTCCAAAGCTTTTCCCACCATTTCTGTTACGAAGCAGTAAGTGAGTCGGAAATGATTCAGCTTTTCCCCGCTTCTCGTCTCAAGCCTGGGAAGCATTTTAAATCAGACTGAATGGATTTCCTGCCTTTCCTCTCCCCTTGCTTCTGGTCTCGAGCCTGGGAAGCATTTTAAACCAGACTGGATGGATTCCCCGCCTTTCCTCTCCCCTTGCTTCTGGTCTTGAGCCTGGAAAGCATTTTAAACCAGACTGGATGGATTCCCTGCCTTTCCTCTCCCCTCGCTTCTGGTCTCGAGTCTGGGAAGCGTTTAAAACCAAAGTGGATGGATTCCCTGCCTTTCCTCTCCCCTCACTTCTGGTCTCGAACCTGGGAAGCATTTTAAACCAGACTGGATGAATTTCCTCCCTTTGCCTCCCCCCCCCCGGTTTTCTGGAGTAAAACAACTCCTTTCAAAGTAAAGTCCACTCAATGAAACAGGAAATAACACTTTCAAACCATGAAGGAAGGATTCGGAAGTTTCGGAAATTTCGAAAAGCTTTGAACATTTTTTTTCTGTGAAAATCGGAATTGACTTCTGAATCGAACTACATCCAAAACGAGTTTTGAACCATTTTTTAAAATCAAACAAGCCTATAAATTATATTACTCTAATATTGTTTTTCATGGTAGAAATACTAGCCTAATGCTACTACAAATTTTATATCCATCTTTACTTTCCTACTATACTTGTGACTTCACCAAGCGAGCTGGATTTGACACAATCGGTGGCAAATTGCCGGCTTAATGTGATGAGGTCCTTACATCACCTCCTGTGATCACCACTCCTAAGTCCAACCCACCACCTACCATTAGTTTGATGGATGACTGTATATTTTACTATTACTAGCTGTGGATCCTGCTGTCACATGTGAGCATCTATTGCTCATAGCAAACAGATGCCAAATAATATTTTAAAATAAGCTCTATCCCTTCTTCTCACCCTTGTCATGTTCTAGAAATAGGAATTACACAATCTTCCTCTCCTCTTACAATTGCCATAATGCTGAGAGATAGCATTTTTAAAAAGAGGGCTACCACTCTACATCATGATCAAACAAAGCTTCCTTCTTCTCCCAAGCTTGCACACAGGTACAACTAGCTCCTCACCTGTAGCAAGGGAGCAGATAAAGATGCTGTGGTAAATTGAATTATCTTCCTATTTTTCACACAATTAACCTTAATGACATTTGCGACCCTAAGTAATATTTGATATGGGCTTAACAGTCTTAATAGACATGTAGGAAAGCTACTTTGATCATAAAGTCTGAAAAGAGGAGGAACAACTGCTTTTGAAAATAAAATAAATTAAGAAAATGCTTATTTCCTAAAAGCAACCTTCTTATCATTATCACTCAGATGGGTTACACACCCAGATCCCTTTGCAGGGATCCTTTAAGTGTTTTGATGTCATAATCTTTCCAATTGTGGATCCAGGGCCTGTCTTGATCTATTTTCATGCCCCTCCTTATTTAGAATTCATCTCACAGGTGAATGGCTGAAAAAGAGTGTGTGTCTGGCTTAAAGACCTTGAAAGAAAGCTCATTGATTTAGAAGTTCTAATTCACTTCTTGGCAGTTTACAAAATCAGTGTAGTAGATACCAACTGTCACCACATG